TCTCTCTCTCTCTCTCTCTCTCTCTCTCTCTCTCTCTCTCTCTCTCTCCCTCTTTATATAAATATAGTGCTACTATTAATAGTAGTAATGTCATCAATAATAGCATGAAGGTATCCATACAAGGTTCTCACGACGAGGGGGCGATCAGGATGGGGACGGTGTTGGTAGTTGGAGAATCGTGAGGAAATCGGTGGTTTTCCATACATTTGACCTAGATTTCGCGGTTTGTTCTCGCAGGGAGAAGGCGGGTTTCGCAGCCCTGGTGCAGCGGTGCCTGAAGGCGATCTCGCACGAGAATGCTGACGTTAGACTCTTCGCGCTCACCCGCCTCAAGGATCTGCTGCAACAAAACCAGGTACGCTGCGACCGCACCAGTGACCGTGCGAACACCCTCATCTATGCACGCACGCATGCTCGCAGGCATGCACACAGGCATGCACATGCGCAGACACACACACAGGCACGCACTCACGCATGCAGGCACGCTTATGTATGCACACAGGCACGTACTCATGCATGCAGTCAGGCAGGCGCACGTGCACGCAGGCACGCACGCACACACGGCTGCAGGCACGCATATACACACAAAAGGTGACTGGTGATTGTCACCAACACACCCAATAACTGCGTGTCAGTTAAACCCTCTCGTTTGAGAACAACGGCATAAATGCGCATCCAGGTTGACCGTCGCCTGCACACGAAAGCTCAATTGTTCAAAGATGACTGTAAGTGTAACCTACTTGTCAACGCTCTCATTTCAAAGCAGCAGATATAAACGTGATGCAAGGGTGATTCTAGCTCGCGTGTGTGAATGCTCTCTTGTTTAAGGAAGACTCGCCTACATGTCAATGCTCTCTTGTTTAAAAGCACACATCCAAGGTGATCATCGCACTCGCGAACGCTCTCTTGTTTAAAAGCACGCATTCAGGATGACCGTCACACGCGCGAATACTCTTGTTAAAAAACACGCATCCAGGGTGACCGTCGCCCCCCACGCACACGCGAACGCTCTCTTGTTTCAGGCGAAGCTCCACGAGATGGTGGTCGGCAACGAGTCGGCCGACCCGGACGTGTCTCAGCTCGTCTCGTGTCTCGTCGTCGGCTGCCGCGACTCGAGCGGCCGCGCGCGAGCCATGGTCGGCGAGTGTCTCGGCATCCTTGGAGCGATCGACCCCGGCAGGTGAGACGCGCACCTTGTGCCTGCCCGCGCGTCGGGGCCGGGTGGAGGGAGGGGGAGAGGGAGGGATGGAGCTAGTGCAGTGGGACCAGCCTGGATCTCTCCTCCTAGGGGAGCGACTTGATCAGGGGAGTGACTGTGGATCAGGGGAGCGACTGTGGATCAGGGGAGCGACTGTGGATCAGGGGAGCGACTGTGGATCAGGGGAGCGACTGTGGATCAGGGGAGCAGGCGCACTGTGGATCAGGGGGGGCAGCGACTGTAGATCCAGTGGGAGTCGCACTGTAGATCAGGGGAGCGTACTGTAGATCAGGGAGCCGACTGTAATCAGGGAGCGACTGTAGATCAGGGGAGCGACTGTGGATCAGGGAGCGACCTGTGGATCAGCGGGAGCGACTGTGGATCCGGGGACGACCTGTGGAATGCACGGGAGCGACTGTGGATCAGGGGAGCCCGACTGTGGACCAGGAGAGCGACTGTGATCCAGTGAGTGACGCTGTGGATCAGGGAGAGTGACTCGCTGATCATGGAGCGCTGTGATCAGGAGAGCGACTCTGTGGATGCAGGAGCGACTGTGATCAGGAGCGACTGTAGATCAGGGCGAGCGACTGTGGAATCAGGGAGCCGACTTTGATCAGGGCGAGCGACTTGGATCAGCGATCGACTGTGGATACGAGACGCGACTGTGATCTCGATCGGGAGCGACCTGTGATCAGCGGGAGAGACCATGCCCGATCAGGGACGACCTGTAGATCAGGAGAGCGACTGTGGGATCAGGGAGGCGACTGTGGATCAGGGGAGAGACTGTAATCAGGGAGCGACTTGTAATCAGGAGAGCGACTGTTGATCAAGGGACAACGTGCGATCAGCGGGAGTGACTGTGATCAGTGAGAGCACTTGTGGATCAGGGATGCGACTTGTGGATCAGGGGAGCGACTGTGGATCAGCGGAGCGACTGTCGATCAGCGACAGCGACTGTGTATTCAGGAGAGCCGACTGTTGGATCAGGGAGCGACTGTGGATCAGGGGAGAGACTGTAGACCTCAGGGAAGCGACTGTGGACAGGGAGCGACTGTGGATCAGGGGATCGGCTGGGATCAGTGAGCGACTGTGATCAGGAGAGGCGACTGTGGATTTAGAAGCGACGTGGATCATTGAGCGACTGTGGATCAGGAGATACGTTAAGATCAGGGAAGCGACTGTGGATCACTAGGTAGCGACTGTGGATCCAAGGGGAGCGAGACTGTAGATCAGGGGAGCGACTGAATCAGTGAGCGACTGTGGTCAGGGGAGCGACTTGTGGATCCAGGGTATCGACTGGTGGGATCAGGAGAGCGACTTGTGGATCAGTAGAGCTACTGTGGCATCAGGGCAGCGCCTTGTGATCAGGGGAGAGACTGTAGATCAGGGAGCGACTGTGGACTTCAGGGGAGCGACTGTGGATCAGGCGTACGTCGACTGTGGGATTCAGGACGACTGTGGAA